CTGTTCACTTCTGTGTCTCTTTTCATTCAACTTTCTGTGAATCCTTTTGGCTCTTGAGAACAGTCTGCTGTTTCTCTACGTTCCGTTATAGAACTTTTGGTGTACGTCTCATGCGTTGGCTGTAAACGTTAGTTTCTGTTTTAGAGTATCTATAAATTCAAGCAAGATGAACTATTATGCAGGTTATGGTGTTGTGTTCGCGAGTTTCTTCTTAATGTTTTAACTCTGTTCTTTTAGCTATTTATTCTGTCTCCTCTTTGAAGGCTTCGAGTGTAGCGATGTCTGATCGGAGGGTCTATTCTCTTCTGTAGTCTGATTTTCCATGGAGGGTCTTTCTGATGTTAGCTGGGAGTTTCCGTTGTGGGTTGAATTCGATAATTTTACCACCATTTTGCTCTCACTATGCACTGCCATACAATTATATTGAGCATCAAGGCTGTCATAGGTTCGATTGTAGCGGTCTCTTTTACCAAATTTGTTCGTTTCTATCTAATAGGCAATGCTAGTTTCTTTGAGTTGTTTGTTTCGGGACTCTTGTCTAACATATAGGATTCATTCCTCCATATTGAATATTTGCAGCCGAATTGTTTGATTCGAGATTCATATAGTTGACTCTCTGAAAGTAGGATGATCGTCTGAAGGCGCTTCGTGAGGGTGCCTGATTGCTGGGGTTAATTTGTGTGACTGGGTATTCTGGGGCTTCTGTAAACCCTTGTTTGCTCTAACTGGCTTGCACTTCAGCTTTAATATCATTTTTTTTTGTTACAATGAAAACATATTTTTTATCAGATTTATGGAATAATAATAATAATAATAATAATAATAATAATAATAATAATAATAATAAATTGTGTGAAGCATTTCAATTAATTCTATTTCCACATCTTGTTTGCTGCGCTTTGGAAGATGGACCACTTGATTAAAATGATGGTTCTGATATCGATAGAGATTTTGACTGTCCGACAGATATTTCTGGATCTTTCTTAATCTAGAGCTTTCTCAATCTTGCAATATTGGAAAAGATGACAAACAGACTACACCCTACAATGTGGAATCACACAGCAAATTTTGACGTAGATGTGGATGACAGACTTTGTGTATCTGGTGATGTTAAACCAAATGACAAGAATATCAAGTATTGCACTTTAGATGTAGATGGTAAATCTGCACGTTGCATTGTAAAACCAAATGGCTTGTTTCCAAAATCTGCTGCTGAAATCAGAAACATGGGTAACTGCTTCTTGTAAAAACTGTACTTAACATATTTTTTAAGAACATTACAAATACCATCAACATCATCATGAACTTTTGAGGTTTAGGCCTCTTGGCCTGTTTCTTCTTTCCGGTATTTCCTCAATCGCTATTGAGGTAATCCTGGTCTGTCAACCTCTTCCTTGTCCTTCCTGATTCTATTTTTTCCCCTGAACCTTGTATCTCATTGCCATTTTTGGTAATTGATAGTTTTTCTCTTTTTATGGGTTTATGCCATTTTATTGGCGTTCTCTATTTCCTGGAAAGTTTTCTTTATTTCTTTATTTCTATTAAGTCTTTTTCTTATGTGTTCATTTCTTACACTATCTTTCCTCGAGATCTTTAATACTACTCTTAAGTATCTCATTGTCCTCTTTGTCTTTATACCAAAAATTTCACTATCTGGCCATCGGCAAAATATAATGTATACCTCTCCGAACGTCATTCCCATTACTCTGCATTGTTGTTCCCACTGCTGTAAAATTTGATGCAGATATATTTTAAACAGTGTTGGGGAAAGACAGCAACCCTGGCGAAGACCTTTACTGACTGGGAATGGATTCGAAAGCCTGCTGTAGATCTTAATCTGAGAGGTGTTGTTCTTGTATAGATTCTGGGTGGCTCCTATTAAGTTTTCACTGATTTTAAGTCCATCCATTTCTTCCCATACTCTAGCAACCGGTTCATTGTCATACACCTTCTGAAGATCAATGAAACCGAGATGAACTTCCCTGGTCTCTTTCCTATAATTTGTTTTAATGTTAATATATTGTCTATGACCGACCTGCCGGCAGTAAAACCACATTGTTCCTCTCCTATTTTTCCTTTTATTTCTTCTTCTATTTTATTTCGTATTATTTTGCTATAGTCTACCTGTAGATCCAATATCTGCTATTCCTCTAGTTTGTTTCATTGTCTCTAGATCCATTCTAATAGATCAGTGTTAGGTAAGACGTTCGCCACTCCTGAGGAGGATCTTCTCCATTCATGCACTTTAAAAACATGTGTTTGAGCATTTGATGCAGTTTATAGGGACCATATTTCAGTAATTCTGCCGGTACATCTCCCGAACCAGACTTATTGGTTTTCATTGTCTTAAGTGCTTTTTCTAAATCTTTAATTGTCAGATCTACCCTATGCTCAAATTTCACTTGTGACTGGAAGTGTCTGTTTTCTAGCAGCAGTCTTCCAAAATACTCTTTCCATTTATTGATTCTAATGTTTGATAATGCAATATTGTTTTTTTAATTGAATTTAATAGATTTTAATTACTTTCCATGCTTCTGAGCACCGTGGCAATATAGTGCAGCCCTGACGTAGTCTAATGTTTGTCGGGATTGCTTCTGTTCAGTTTCCAACAACATTATGGATTTGGATTCTTGATTCCTTATAAAAACATTTTATTGCATTTATTAGATGTTCCTCTAGTTTCTTCTTCAAGCACTTTTATTCTATTCCTCTATAAATGCTTTTTCATAGTCTATGAATACTAGATATGTGGTAGATTTTCTTCAATTCTTCTGTGGGTATCTATTGGTCTACTGGTGAAAAACGCATCTATGGCCCTCTCTCTTACCTGAAACCGACTGTTCTCTTCTAAAATAGTTTTCAATATATATTTGTGAGATTCGTGTTTTACAGAATGTTTGCATAAATCTGTAGCTTGCTTGCATTGTTATTCCTCTATAGTTTTCACACATATTTTTTGCTCCTTTCTTGGGCATATTTATTACAATACCCATTTGCTATTCTGTTGGTTTTGTGAGTGTAATCCATATTGCATTCATCACTTATAGTAGTTCTTCTTGTAATTGTCTTCCTCCATGTTTTATTAGCTCCATGTTGATGTTATCTGGTCTGGGGCACTTTCAGTTCATAGTTGTTGTTAGTACTCTCTTCAATTCCTCTATTTTTATTTCAATCTCTATATCTTTCTTTCTCATAAATCTGTTCCTTCTTCGCCTTCACCTTTGCATGATGCATCTTCATGTTCTGTCTGTGTGCACACTTCTTTACTGTTTCCTATGATTTATTCAGTGCTTCAAGTCTGTTTTCAGATGCAGAAGCATTTTCTGTAAATCTGTCATCGGTTTATTAAGTTCTTCCATCTCGTTGGTTTGTTGTAGGCTGGTTTGACAGTCTTGGCATAACCACATCAGCTTTGCTGACTGCTTTTGTAAGGGTTCAAGTTAATTTCATGCATTTCGTGTCGAACACATTTTTGGGTTTCCCCTGTACATGCAACTATTTATTATTGGTTAACTTCCCTCTATTTTGTTTATAACCATTATTTTTAGTTTAAATCTTAATTCATTTAACATTCAAATTAAAATTGGGTATAATATTGTTCTTACAATTTTGTTTCTCATTATTTATATTTTCTAATAAACATAAAATAAAAACAAAATAGAAAAAATATGAAAACTAAAGCAAAACCAAATTTAGTCATCCAGATAGCCGAGATGGTCAAGGCAGTCTTGCCATAGCTATCTCAGACTGAAGGATAGCGGGTTTGAGTCCCGCCTCGGGCATGGTTGTATTTGTGTTTGTCCTTTCACTCCTCACCATAACCATATCACATGATACTGTTAATCCTTTCGTTAATCTATTGTGATTGCTAGTGACCTAGCTGTTAATGTTATCTTAATTTTTGTTTTTGAAAATACCTAATTAAAAAAAAAGAAAAGAAACATTTAAATTACTGTTTTTTTTTATTTTGAGCTGTGTGCAAATTATAAGATATAAGGTTGGTATACTATAGAGAATTTACAAGGATAAAATTTGTATTTAGCTTTTTTTAAGACCTGTGTTAGAACATGAGATATTCATAAAAAATTAAACAAAAAGTTTTTTTTCTTATATTCATTATATAATTACATATATAACGTATTGATTCATTCTTATGAAGTATTTCGGTTAAATTGTTTTAAATCCAGCAAAAAGCCTTCTCTTTTTAACACTTCAAATACGATTTGGGACATTAAAAAATTCCATCCCGGGGGCACTTTTTTGTTGGTAGGGAAGTAGTATTCTTCACCTTCATAGATTACGTATCTCTTTGTCATGTAGGTACATTTTGTGTTGAATGCACCATAAAATCTTTTAAGATAAAAAAAAGCACTATAATTGTTGGAGTTATCAACAGGGCGATACAATCCCATGAAGACAGCAATCGACCAACGGTCCTGTGTTCTTTTTGACTAGAACAGTACTGTGCAGGTACTGTGTCTGTGACCGTCGAGGAGAACACATGTGGCTTGGTGTGTGCTAACCATGTGTTGTGCGTCAAGAGGTGTAATTTGCTAGAATCCGCCTGCAATCAGGGAAAGATGTGTGTCGACAGACTGGGGTGCGAGCTGTCCATAATTCCAACAATACTTTGTATCCCAATATCAGCACACGTTGTCTTTTAGATGTAAAAGTGGATCTAATTTACATCCCATTTGCATCACTCGAGTGTTCATAAGGCTGCCAATAGCATCATAATGATATGAAAGATTCATCATTTACTATATGACATCTCTCAGATGTGAAAAAAGAGTTACATATGATCTAAAAGGGACATTTGCTAGCACTTAAATGATCTAATAAAGTTACTGTTGAGGTCAACATTGTGAATGAAATAATTAAAATATGTTTTTTCTTGCTGGAAAAATTGTATGCAATACCAACTTACTATGAGTTACCATTCCTTACGATTGAGTCAACATTTATTCCAAGAAACAATCATTAACTTAAATAGCAGAAGTCCTGAAATCAATTACATAGTTAAATCATCATCTACTATTAATCATTCACAGTTCACAGATTAAGAAACCTTAAGTTATTGTAAATTTTGTAGAGAAGCATTATAAAAACAGGCAGGAATTCAATAAATTTTATTTCATAAATTTGTCTCTTTCTTTCACACAGATATTCATAAAACATTCAAGATGATACATATGATACAATTAAGTCATGAAACTGATGTAAAATTTCTTGTCTATGGAAAAGTTTTCACATGATATAAACACACACACATGACAATTTCATATCAATTTCATTCAAATCAGTCACTCACATTCTATGTTAATAAAAAAACAACATTCATGTACAAAACAATTTTTCACAAAGGAAGCATAATACTACATGCATTTTAACATAATTTAAAACAGTAACAAACATGTATAATTAGAATAAAAGAAAGAAAACAAAAACAATTAAAGAAAATGAAGAAAATTTCCAGTTTTAAATGTGTATATGAAGGAAGATGGCAAGGTACTGTTAAAACGTGCTGCTGTCAATTCATTTCTAAATTGGTGGTTATTGTTTCACATTGCCAATTTCCATAATTATTTAATTTTAGGTATATATAAATATTGAATATCATATCAAATAGCTGCAATACATTTTTAAAATGTATGATAAAATATATTTTATAGTTAAATTTATCTTTTACTTATTATTAGAAATAAAATACTGTTAGAGGGTTGAAAGAAAAAAGAATTTGAAAGTATAAGCAATAATAGTAGTATTATATCTTGAAGAGTTAAAATTGAAACTATTCAACTCTTTGTTGTTTCTGAAATGTATTGACTGGAATGTTATTAACTTAAATGTAAATCACTTTGTGAACTTTCTGTACAATATAGTTTCATATCTCAGTTAGTCTCTGATTCCTTATATTACAAAAATATCACCACTGAATGTGCCTTTAAGATATGTATACATTTTGGAATAATCTCCAATGAATCATGTATGACACACCAGATTCAAATAGATCACCACAAATGATATAATTTCAATCTCATCTTTGTAAACTTGTTCTCCACCTGTTTGAAAACTGTGGAGTGTCTTTCAATGTTCAAAAACACACAACTCTTCTTAACATATCACAATTTTTCATTGCACATTAAGCAACCTATTTTAATACTTGGCTTTGGACTTTGCCCACATGAAATTGATTGTATTTCTCACTCTCCAACTTCAATTTGCTGCCACACAAAGATAATTAAATAACAATTTTAAGATTATGTTGGGTTGGGCATTAATTATGGCGCATTCACTTCTCAGATTGTAATGAAGACAGCTGCAGTCCTTGTGCATCTGCTTTTTCACTTTTTTCTGGATGGTTATCTTTTTGTTTTCCATTGACATGAACATCATTTTCTGGATTGTCCCAGGCTTGTCGAACACCAGTTCCAAATATCAAGTAGATTGAACCACATACTACATAGACACCAGATGAAATCATAAATACAACTCTCCATGCAGCTTGTGTTGGCTGAAATTGATAACATTATTTTATTACATATCCAACTAAAATATGTTTCTTACTTTAATTGTTTAACTATATATATTGTTAAGATAATATAATAAAAGGGAAAGCTTAGAAACAAAATATAAGGATAAAAATTGTATTCTTTACAATTCAAAATTTTGGGAGGTTTCAAGACTAGAGAGACATAATAAAATTACCAATGATAATTTTTCAAACATTTTCCTTTATATTCGGTTAATGTGCAAGAGAATGATAGAGAGAGTGTTTAAGACTGGTTAACTGATAATGTTATTTTAATTTAATTTTATTTATTTGCTTTAAAATTAATTTTAATTACTAATATTATTCAATTAGGTATTTGTTCATAAATTGTATACCATTTTTACTAGTGTTTTATTACTTAAATTAAATTAATTACATAAAAAATGTACTTATATATACTTATAACTATATACCTATACTTGTTAAAAAAAAATTTAAAAACCTTATTATTGTTATTAATTTATTTGATATTTTATAAAAGTGAAACCAAATGTGATGCAGTTTGTATCATCAGAAAATGAGATAATACTTTTCCTTAAGCTCAGAAAATGGCTAAAATTATTATGTCAAATAAATTATAGAGTTCATGATCACACTCACCCTTTCATGAATTATATATCCTGCAGTTATTGGTGCCAAAAGGCCAGCAAGATTTGCAGCACAATTGGTGAAGCTCATCATGATGCCCGCAAATCGTGGAGATATATCTAAATGGTTGACTTTGAAACCAGAATAGATACCTCCATTCAAACCCACTCCGAGGGAAAGAAGGGATACAGTCAGAGCAGGATTACATCCAGTGTACGATGCTGCTACAAGTGCAACAGCAGGACCATACTGACCTACAAAAACCCACATCATTAATGTTTTTCATTCATTTATGCAGAAAATCAATAGATATATTTCAAATTTGACCTTTTCTGTAAAAAGCATGAATTAATTATTGTTCGTTAAAAGTTCTATGAAATTAAGTTTGTTAATTTTTATGTGAAAACAATATAAATTTAATTATTCTACTTCAGTCTTCTTTTGTAAATCTACCACCATTTTTTCTTATTTAAGGAGAAACAAAAACTAATAATAAATTGAAATTTTACATTTGGATTAAATTTAAATTTTGTAAGTATAAAACCATACACAAGAAAATAATCCATTAAACAAATTTGTGTGTGTAGTGGCTCCTCGTGTGACTAGCCTATTAAATTAGCAAAACTGAAAATTATATGCAGTCTTCAGAATTATGCTTTAATCAAAAGATTGTGAAGAAAAGTAGCCAAAAGAATGAGAACAAAATACAGAAGTATAATAATTCAGGCAGGCAATTACATACTTTTCCTCATTCATCTTCATCATCATAATAACTTTTCATTCATGTCACTTATATGACAAGGTATATTTCAAAAGAAGCAACATTGATTACTATTCAAATGGACACAGGTGAAGAAAAGTTCAGAATTAATGATGAATCAATTCTAATAGCAATCAGTAAAACAAAAAAATATTATAATTTTAAAATATCTAAGGTAGCATACCTATACTGTTTATAATTTTTCTTGTTTGTGTGTGAGTGAAACGATGGCTAGAAATCATCCAATCTGCAATGTTACTAGAAACAATGGAGAAACACCACATAGCTAGGTAAGGAACGGCGGACAATGTTCCATTCTGAAAACAAAAATTACAAATATCTTATATGTCTCTCATTAGAATACAATACTCTAATTCAAATAAGAACTAAGTAACTTCTAACCAAGATAAACTAATAAAGAGTATGCAAATATCATCAGTTGTTTTTAATAATATTTTTGAAACTGAAATGATTTTTCTTTATGAAAAATTTTTCCTCGTCAGTTAAATAGCAAACAAAAAACAATGTTCTGTTATATTTATGATTAAGTAGTATTCTTACTTAATTATCTAAACTACATTTTTGAATTTTGGTTAATTTGAATCGAAAAAATAAGTGTTACAAACATTTCTTTTGTTAATATTTACCTTCTTAATATCAAAATGAAGTACTTGTTTCATAAATGTGGGCAGTTCTGTCATGAGAGTTTCGTAACCATAATTTTGTCCCATATGAGCAATCAAAATTGCATAGAATGGCAAGGAAGTCAGAATAGATTTCCAAGGAACTGGTGGAGACTGAAATTAATAAAATCATTGTAATAACAGTGCTAAACTTCATTAAAAATATTTAGCCAAAGAAAATACAAAAATTTACAACTTACAGAAATCCCAGCTGAACCCCAAAGAGAATTTATAATATATTTTTTTTCATCATCTGCAATTCTTGGATGAACAGTTGGTTCTTCATAAACCATAAAAATAAATGCCAATGACCACAAAGTTCCAACTGCTCCAAACACATAAAATATAGATGGCCATCCTCCACTGAATCCATACTCTGAGAGTAAACCACTTAGTGGCATAGACACTACAGTTCCAAATTGTGCTCCTAAAAATTATGAAAGAGAATTAGAAAATTTGTTAATTTGTCATAATTTGTAATTTATATAATCATCATTGTCCATTACAGAATAATGTGTAAATCTGTTAACCTGGAGGAAAGAGTCTCATGAAGCTATGTAAGTCTTTCATATGAATTACAAAAGTTAAATATATTGATAACTAACTGATTAACCAGCATTGCCTGGGTAATTATTTATAACAATCATTTATTAAACAGTGCCACTCTTTTCTCATTATTCACCCACACCTCTCTACTTGTCCATCCTCCCTTGCCAGATCAGTCTGCACCACACACACTGCCTTCACCAATTGCTCCATCCACTCAATATGCTTTTTCTGTCCCTCGAAAAATTCCCTGCCATACCTGCTCCGCTTGCCTCATCTGCCTCCATGTAGCATGTCAACAATATTGCCAAACTGAATTGAAAATTGTAACTTTTGTATTAATATGGTGTGGTGAAATTTTGGGGTAACATTTTGAAATTGTGAACCCCTCTACACTTTTTTGTCAAAAGTGCTTGTGTAGAATGTTCCAATAGTTCAAAAATTACTGTGGAACAAAACATTTCTATAGATATACATTCTTCAGTATTAAGAAAAAAATGTGACCTCCAGAAAAATAGTTTTTGCAGTCTAAATCCTATTTGTCTGTCTGTCTGTACTTGGTGTGACAACCCTCGTACGGGCCGTGGCCTACCAGCAGCATCTCAACCTCACAGCTATGGGTTAAAGAGTATGTGTGGTGAGCACAAAGACATCCCTATGTTGTATTCTTATCATTTCAGCCTGAGAAATGAGTTTTTATAGTGTCACACAGCAACATATACTGGGATATTGCAAGGAAAACACACACTATAATCTTGCCAGACTGGGAATTGAATCCAGGATTGCGTCGTGGAAAGCAATCACACTGATCAATGAGCTGAACTGTGAGGGCCTAAAACCTATTATCTAATAATATTTTCACTTTTACAATGAAAGTCACCACATTGAGGTAGACAATTAATAATATAAACAATTTGTATTATGGATGCAACATCAATGTCTATGTTTTCAAAATAACAATGTTTTTATAAAAACATCAATGTTTTAAACATTGATTTATGAAATACTACATTTTTCCAACATTTATGTTTTGTACTGTATGTTTGTACACAATGTTTTTATGTTTTCAATGTTGTTCTTGGTTGTTGTTGTTGTTGTTGGTTGTAGATTTTTTTGGTAAATGAAGATGTCCTATAATCACAATTTGGTAAAAGTTAAAACATTAAATATCTGGTACCACTTAATTTATGTAACATATGCTTAGGACCTCCCTTTCTGCTCATACCAATCTAGGAGTGAATTGAAGAATCTCTGAACCCTTGAGATGATGTTGACTGCTCAGGGTTCCAGTCACACTTTGTTATTGTTTAACATTCTTATGCTGGTTAACTCCTAAGCAAATAAATGCTTTCATTGTCAAATTAAATTCTTCCCCTTGCCAATATTTAATGTTAGTGGATACTAAACCACTTTTAAAACATTGATGTTAATAATTCATTGTCTCAAAATATCAGTGTTTTTATTTTAAGTTTATCTTGTCAAAGTCACAACCCTAATTTTTATCAGGGCTAAAAATATATTTTTTTAAATCTCAAAGATTAACATATTTCATTAAAGTTTGTAGTTTGATTTTTTCCAGCATTACATAACTTCACACATATACACTCTGTTTACAATCAAGTAAAAATGTAAAGTTCAATCTAACCTGCATATATAAAAGCTCCCATTCGACTCCTTTCATTAGGAGGGATCCATTTTGCCAGCATTGCATGGGTACATGGTACAATAGGACCCTGATAAATAAATTCCATAATTTGTATCAATATACAGTATGTTTGGCAAAAACTCATTTACTTTCTAAATTAATATAAAATACATTTTTAAGCGTAATTCATGATTTAAATATGTAGTGAATTTACAACAAATCATATTTTAAAAGAATATAAAATGGAAAAATTCATTTAATTTGTACTTAATAATTACTTGTGAATGATGATTTTACTTACTTCACCAAGTCCCTGAATGAAGCGTACCACAATAAGCCAACCAAAGCCAGCATTAGCTGCAATTGGAACCAGCAACCCAAACACAGAGTTAATGAGCATGCCCACTCCAAGGAAATACTTGGCTCCATACTTTTTAGCAAGGATACCAAAGGGTACTTGAGTTATCACATAACCATAGAAGAAGCTGCTGAGAATGTATCCTTGCAGTTTGGTATCCCATTCAAATTCTCCATCTACCTGAGTAGAACTTGTCTGAAACACATAAATATTTCAATTTACATAAAATCGGTTTACTTTTATGATATTCAGTCAAATAAATAAATTTTGAGTGACTGTCTATGATTTCAAAATAACTAAATTTTTATAATTTAGAAGACATAAAAACCAAAGCAATTGTTTTTACAATTTTTGTCTATCTGTTGGTCCAGGGTTAATCTCTGAAACATTTTATGATGATTTATATTTTTTATACAGTTTAATCAATAATAATGACATTATTTATCATTTTTGGAGCTGCTTTGACCTGCTATTAATCTTCATAATAAAACTTAAACTATTTTTGAGACACCTCTAGCAAGAACAAATCATCTTCATTATGCACCCCTATGGAGAAAATCAATATTTCAGAAAGGATTCAACATTAAAATGAATCAAAACTCTGGATCTATCAATATTATCAAAAATACTCTACTGAATGACTTCTCTTAAAAATTGTGTATTTAATGTTTTTAATAACATTGTGAATTTTCTGCGTTTTATATGATCTTGTGCATTTGGAATAACAGCTATCAAACCTACATTTAACACAAAAATAATATTTTTGACAATGTTTTCTTTTGTTTTTGTAATTTTTTTTCTTGCTCTTTTCTTTTCCTTCAGTGTACCTTCATCTAAACAATGGAAGTCAATTTTTTACAATATTTCACTCATTTAAAGTTGTAAAATCAAGTCCTACAGTAGAAGTAAAAATAATTATATTATTGTAAAAATAACATTTTGACTGAGGTGCGAGTGGAAAAGAATGCATGTTGTGAATTTAATATCCCATATGAATAGTCTTTATAATGGTAATGTTACAATTTCAATTACTGATAAGGGAAAAAAAAGAATTTTGAATCATTCCGGACAATTTTGAGTACATAAGAATATTGTGAAATTTGATTTTAGATTAGAGTTCTTAAGCATTCCATATAATATGGAATGAATCCATTGTCCTGAAGAACTTACACCCCAATCTCCTCTATTTTGCTTCATAAGGGCAAAACAAAAGGCGTGCTCATAAATGATGACTGTGAAAAAGCGCGAAAAACAATGTGTTGTCTGTGAAAAGAACACCCATTTCTTGGATTAGGTACTTGGCAGGGCGACGATCGATACAATTTTAAGAAACTCGCTAAATTGCACCGGGTGGCTCAAGGTTCCTCGTTGTATGGTACATTCTCAATACTTCCAACCCAGTTCTGAAGTAAAAAGAAGAAAAAAGGTTTACAAAAAAGGTGCATCGCAGAAAAAAAGTTACTAGTAGTATATTCACAGTGAAAGCTGTCATATTTCTCTATGAGATTGTATGGTAACATTTGTACTTTTTTGCGCTTAAGAAGGAACTTCTTTAAAAGAAATAGTTATGCAATGCATGCGCGAAAAAAACGGCGAATTTTCGGCAGAAAAACTCTTATTACGGGACCCTGACAACGAAAAAGTGGATAAATTCAGGTACTAAATTTAGAAGAACAAAAATACTCTAACACGTGGTGCAGCCAGAATTCCTGTTTTGTGGGTCCTTGATACTCAAAAAAATCGATTGATTGCAAAACGTCTGTGAACAACGGTAGTGGCAAAACGGTTCAGTCGATTTTCTCCAAAACTGATATTCTCCAATCAATCTGGCTGATGTCACGACTTCTTGAATTTGAAATTGATATTTTAATCTCAGAGGATACTTTACGTGAAGCCCTAGGGACATTTTCCAAAATTTCAAAAAATTGCACCATCGATTTTTATTAAATTTTGTTGTTGGGTAGTCTGAAGTACATTTAAGAGAATGGCGCAGGTTTAATGTTAGTTGAAAACACTGATTTTTCAACTCTCAAATTTATCAATTATTTCTATTTATCAATATAATTAATATTTGTAATATATTACTTCAATAATTTTATTTCTTAATCGTTAGTTACAATGTTTTGAGATAGGAAGAAAACAAGTTATTTTTAGTTCACCATTGTTTTGCAAATTGTCCAAAGAAATTTCAGTGAATAATTATTAATAGTCTTAAACTACCCTTTGGTCGCGCATCTGTTTATTTAAACTACTTATTTACTACATTACCACTTAATTCTACAATTCAGTCTAATATATTTTATAGGCAAAACTAATATGGGATTTCTAGAACAAGAAGAAAAACGTACGTCATTCAAGTTCCCGGTGTTTCCGCATTCATCGGTGTCGACTATCTCCTCGTCCGTCTGCAGCGCCGAGTGGTTCACCATCGCCACGATGGCCACCGACATGTTGGTGCGCATCACGTAAGCGTTGGCCATCCCCAGGAACAGCATGAAGGTCACGATGTGTCGCGCGCCGATGCATGCTGCAAAACAGAGCTGCAATTAGCATTCTATGCAATCCTTGAACGAATTAATTAATAAATGAATGAAAGCGAATGAACAAATGCAACTATGATAATTTGGATGAGTAGAACAGTGGGTGAAAAAGCAAATGAAAGTAAATAATAAGCAGACCCCTTCAATAAACCAGTAGTGCTACAATAGCACATCCTTTCTCCATTATTTCTAACTCTTGCAATTTTATAAACAACGAAATAATTCAACAAAAATGAAATCTGCGCCATTCGTTTAAGCATCTGTTCCATTCGTGAAAAATTAAGAAAAACAAAATTGGAGCGATTTTTGAGAAAATGTTTTTTTTTAATAATCTGTATTAATTTCAAGGAGACAATAATGCCAACATTACTAGCTTTTTAAAAATAATTGTACATGTCATATATATATACGTTGTTTTAAGATTTGAAGACGATATTTGATTAAAGAAAAAAATCTCTATTTTCAACAATGTAGTTATAGGAAAACGTCAAAAAAGAGTTTCAAAGTTTCGCAATTTTAGAAATCGGGGATTTCAATGAAAATGAGACTTGGGCCATTCATTTAAGAACCCTTAACGTTATTGGAGAAAAAAATTCAAACATTTGGAGCCATTTTTGAGAAAATTTTGAAAATGAAAATAAAGCTTCACCTAAAGTATCTCCAAAAGTTAATATATCCATTTCAAACTTGCAGGGACTTGAGTTCCTTTAAATCGATCGGGGAGTACCAATTTTGGAGAAAATCATTTGAGCGGTTTAGGCACTAGCCTTGATTACAGACGAACATTAACAAGAAATACCTCTTTTCACTGCTAGATGAAAGGAGCGTAGCGAAATTTGCGTGGTCAGACGGAAGAGCGGGCCTGATGGCCCGAGTCTCGCCACGTAAAATAAGGCAAATTCAATTCAATTCAATTCAATTCAACATTTTGCAATCAATCGATTTTTCGGTATCATGGACCCACAAAACGTGAAATCTTTCTACACAACGTGTTAGAGAAAGTAAGGAATGGGAAAATAGTTACCCTATTATCATATTCATATAGAAACAATATTTATCCGCTTTTTTGTCACTAGGGTCCGGCAATAAGAGTTTTTCTCTAAAAAAAATCGTCGTTTCCCGGCGCATAATTTCTCTTCCTACGAAGAAATGCGAGAAAGTAAAAATGCTCTATGGTCGACCTGAATAATGCAGTTCAGCGTTATTTAATGGGCGCAACGACGATTATTCAGTCCAAATATTATTCCACTTGACATTATTTCACCAGAAGACAATATTATACGATGCTGTCATCAACATTACTGATTGTAAGTACGAAGAGTCCACATCAATTATACGAGTATTAAGCTAACTAGAAACGTACAGGTAACCGCAAGATCCGATTTACACATTTCCTTTTGGCGAACGATTTCGGAATTTTAGCAAATGCGCGCATGCGTCTAGATAACACCTGACTTTTCCACATTCACTCCATACATGAGAAACACCTGACTTTTCTGAGTCGAGAGTTCGAAGCGCGCGAGCTAATTATATGGAAGGCAAATGGTATGAGGTGGAGATGCTATTTTTAACAATCGCCTACCGATCCGGGGAGGCAACGACGGATCCCAGCGTAGTTTTTTCCTCGCCTTTATTTAGTTTCATTATTTAGGAGTTTTAAGTTAATTATTCGATTCTTTCTTAACACTAGGCGATAATCCGGAAGAGGTGGCTCAGGGCATGAACTGATGTCACTGCAGTGCCTCTGACCAGGAGGTCCTAGGTTCGAATCCCGACGATGGCAGGATTTCCACACTAGCTAGATAGCTAAGAGTATGTGGAATTCAGTCGCCGTCAGAAGGAAAATTCTAGAGACCGACTGCTCTGATTCGTTTTCCGTGGCTTCTCGGATCAATATCAGACATATGCCGGAGCAGTAGCCATTGACCGCGCGCGATCTTTCCTTCCCCTTCCTTGTCCTATATTCATCCTTTACTTACTCACACTTACATGCACTATACTATCCCGCACGCTGGGAGCTTAGAGCTTGTCCTAGCTGAAACGGCGCCGCGCTAGTGCGAGGCATCTGGTTGGGGAAAACTCAACCGCCGACAGTTAGGTCGGCGCCGGATTTCGTCATCCAGCGGGGGGAGATCACCGCCTCCTCACGAGGGGGGAAACAAGCACTTCATTTACGGGGCTATCGACGTTTTGTAGTTGTCGCGCCAGGAATCACTAATCAATCAATCAATCAATCAAATCAAATCTATGTGATAATTCCGTCTTTCAAAGCTTACCTGATTTTTACAAAAGAATTCGAATGTGTCTCCCTGCGTAATCGCTTCGTGGAAACTCCGGCGCTCTCTTACAGGCAGGCCTGCCCATAATCAAGTTAAAGTTTTAATTTATTATCTTTATAATCTGTGTACTATATTCTACTTATATTTCTAATTTAGTATCTATTTGGACTTCAGTTCCTCCATTTTAATAATAAAAATAGCGGATATATGAGAAAGATTATTTTATTATTAAAATTCAAACGTTTACGTAAGAAGTGATTTTCCTAGTATATTCAGAGGTGGTTCGGAACAAGTCATTTTAATTAAAAGTCCGTCAGTTTGCGTCAAGTCATATCGCTTCCATGAAATATGAGTCAACATGTCTCATTTTTTATATCCATTAGCATTAAATTGTACCGACATTTCAACACAAAATCTTGATTTAAACAATACCCACTCTTACGATAGTAGTACTACTGGTAATAGAAGATATTGAATTTGACACCGTTAAATTCTTGTTTAGAAAGTAGTATTTAAACTTTGATCAAGACGCTCCTATAATATTTCAGCGTTCAGTGTTTTATAAATTTTTTAATAAATACTGAAAGATTTTGTGAATAATAACTCATTGTCAATTGGTAGGTAATTATAAACAACCTTGCATTTAATGCTAAGATTATTTATTTTAATTTAAAAAAATTTAGTTTGCATGCCAATTGAATTTCAAAATCGGTATCTTCAACTTTAAAGGTTCTTGACACCTGGCGAACGTTTTACGAGTTCCTTGTTGTTGTACGTATTCATTGCCAAGAATCCATTCCCGATTTTGCAGATAAAATTACTTAAATCTTTGGAATTTCGGGGAGTGTCGAGTCACCGAAACAAAAACGTTTCATAGCAACATGATTTTGTTTACATTCATACGAAGTTTCAAAGTAAAATTCATATAGAAGACTTTGAGGCACTACTTATCTTCAATTGAAAAACCGAGAAATACGAGTGAGCGCACACCTGATATAAGTAGAGTTAAGAGATAAATTAATAAACCTACGAAGAAAACGACAGACTGATTTTCTTTCACGGAAAGGTCGTAAGAGTCTGACTACGTTTTCAGTGTATTAAACATGTGTGGCTAATGAAAATCGAATGAATTTCCAGCTCAAAATTGTGGCAGGAAAACTCACGTCAAATGAAAAGATTATTTGGTGGTTACGTCAAAGTTTTGAAATAAATACAACACTTATTAAGAAGTAGAAAAACATCTTAATTTTAATTACAAATTACATTCATAGTTCCTGTTAGTAAATAAAAATATTACCTCTTTGCTGTGTAGTATTATTTTGAAAATACACCTGAAGTGTCTTATTCATCATTATTGATGTAACATTTTATGGACTGTAATCTCTTTGGTGAAAAAGTTATTTTCTGAATCTGGAAAGTCTGTGATTCCCACTGTCGGCCGTGCAAAAATAAACTAGTGGTGTTACGGAATGTCACAGACTTTCCCGTATTAGTTTTCTATTTCCTTTGGTCACGGTCCTACATGAACTTGCCACATACTCTTGCCAGCTGCCATCTATCAAATCCCAAAATACATTTTTTAACTCTGCTTGATTAATTTTTTTGACGAGAAAAATATAAAAAGGTTATCCTATGGTGTCCCTCCAGCGTTAGAGAACGGTGTCCAAGTTGGCGATGAATCTCTTTCATTGTTCCAAAATATTTCTTTTAGCCAACGAGCTGGGGTCTCGCGAAAAGAAAATATTCTGAAATCGTCGGCTGCTAATCGTGTGCAAATTGTGTTTGTGCGCGCACATCATCGCGAGGAATGGGTTCAAATCAGGGCTTCGAAATACGCTTTGCGTGACCGTGAATAAAAAGCTCTTTACGTGACCGATAAATTAGTCGTCAGTTTCCGATCATTAGACAAGTCCGCAATGAATAGGGTTAGATAATACGTGTTTCGTATGTCATGGAGTATATATTGAAATAATTTATAAACTTAGGTAATCCAAAACATTTTCAAAAAGTACAGTGAAAAGTTTTGCCTAGTGAACATTTTTAAAAAGCGTTAAAAAATGGCAATTTCAGGTAATTTTACTTAACTACTAAACCATGAAACGTCAGGAGATGTGAGAAAGAAATTGGTCACTGAAATAAGTTCTAACCAAATAGAATGAGCCCAAGAAATCAACGGAAACGTGTTATTGATTGGTCGCCGATCGCATCGAACAGCTCAGAGGTTGAGATCCACTCGTTTCACCCCAAATTATGCCCAGTAACGAACAAAAGACCTTTACAAACCAGAAAGGTAACGGTCATCTGCGATAATCCTCTCTTATTTTCTTCACACTTCTTCATTCATGCCAGATTGTTCAGTCCTTAAGGCTGAAAGGTGACTTCAGGGAATACTGACTTTCATTTTCTCCAGTTATTACTTTAATTAATACTGACTTTCTCCAGTTATTACGTTAATGTGGAGACTTAACATTTTAAAGTTCATGTTGAAAAGAATGTTTAGTAAATGCAAAAATCCGTGAAGATACGGCGGATTTCTAATTTTTTAATCATTGAAATTCCTTTTTTTAAATTATCTGAATACTTGATGGGAATGTTTTAACCCTCCAAAATTAGTTATCAGTCTGACTTACTTTGTAGCTCTCAGAACCATTTGGACTCATAGGAGTGCAATGAAGCAAACAAGAAGACATAAGATGTGCTGCGAAAGG